GACATGTCAATTCCCACGTTATTCGGTGACTAGTTTTCGATATATATATATATATATATAGGGTTTAGGAAGAGAATTCCCACATTGTAAGATTCAATAATTCTAACAATTAATTACGTTTTAGAAAGAGAATCACCATTAGATTAAGAATTAATTAGTATAAGATATGCACACTTAAACATATTTAACATTATTTAGCCCTCTCTCTCCCAAAAAACCCTCTTAGGGCCGTTTTCATTTTGAGGGTGGCTTCCTCCACTCTCCCCTATTCTCTTCCTCCCTCTCTCCTCCTCTAATTTTCAGAGACAAAAGGTTTTCCCTATTTGTGTCTTCGTTTTATTATGATTTTCCTCCAACCATCACAGGCGATTGCGTCTCGACGTCGGATCTCCACCACCATCCTTTTTGCGGTTTCTTTATGTTCGGAATAAGTCACAGAGACTCTTTGGGTTCTATGTGTAGTTTTCACCTCTCTTTTTGTGAGAGCTTTTCACCTTTCCTTTGTGAGAGCTTTTCATCTCTCATTTGTGAAAGTTTTATTTGTATTGTTATGGCTGGTTTTTTCAAACTTTATCTCTTTTTATTATTTTGAGTTTGCAATTTTAGTTGGGACGCCTATGCCAGAGTTTCTTCAATCGTGCGTGATCATTAGTCACGCACTAGATTGTCTTAATTTTGATATTAGACTGCTCCGTTATTGTAATGGCTTTTTGTGGCTAGTTTGTATTGGCCCTTTGTGGTTAGTGGCTTTTTTGGCTGAATTATGAATACAATCCTAGAATTTCTATATTTAAAAAAAACCATTATCTAATCATTATCTAAAGTTATTATATCATAAGGTTCCTAATAAAGGCCTCACCAATACGTGAACAATTGAGATGCACCTCATGGCATGTTTACTAATCCGTAATTGGAGTAGGAGGAATTGAATTGAGGAGGAGTTGGATTAAGGAGAATTAGATTCCGGACTCCTATTGAAGTTGTTTACTAAACTATATGGATTGAGGGGGGTTAGATTCCGGATTCCTATTGAAGTTGTTTAGTAAACCATATGGAATTAGAGTATGAGTTGTACTAATTACTAAAATGTCCTCGTTGTTAGGTTAAAGTAGATTGCGAATTTTAAAATTTTAAAATTGTGTGAGGATATAATGGGTAAAAAAAGATGAATTCATAATGGGTTAGTTCTTCATGAATTAGAATACCACCTCCCACCCAAGAATTGAATTCCTCCAAAATCAGAATTCAATTTCTAATTTTGTGTGGGCCTACTTACTTTTTAATTCCTTCATGTGAAGTAAACACATGAATCCTCCATAGATGGAATTCAATTCTTGATGAGAATTTCAATTCCTGATTAGTAAACGCACCATCAGTATACTAAAGTCATTTAGATATCAAATCTAAACTGAAAAAAATTCAAAATCCCCATATTTATTATGAGTTAATCGTTGTATTAGTCCTTAAACTTAGGCCCAATTTGCATTTGAATGCCTCAATTTTCAAAATGGTTCTCGTGGTCCGCCAACTTCAATTTCGTTAGAACAAATGGTCCTGCCGTTAATTTTGTTAACTTTTTTGTTAAATGCAGGGGCAAAATGGTATTCTTGTATCAAAATTGATTAAAATATGAATAAAAAATTAAAATTAAACTCTCTCTCTCCCCCTCTATCCCGATTTTTACTCCCCCCAAACTTAATTTTTCTTTTTTTTGTTGTTGATTTTTTATTTGATTTTCTTTTATTGTTATTTTAAAGATATAATTTTTTATTCATTTTTTTGGTTTTAATATAAAAATACCATTTTGCCCCTGCATTTAACTGAAAAAGTTAACAAAATTGACGGCAGGACCATTTGTCCTAACGAAAGTGTAGTTAAAGGACCACGGGAATAGTTTTGAAATTGAGGTACTCAAATGCAAATCAGATCTAAATTCAGGGACTAATAAAATGATTAACCCATTTATTATTAGTGATCAATGACTAGATTTTAATAAAATAGTATTATTCTTTCTAATTTTTTTTTTGGTTGAGAAATTCTAGAATTGTATTCATAATTGAGCCAAAAAAGTAACTAGTCACAAAAAGTCAATACAAACTAACCACAAATAACCATTACAATAACGAAACGATTTAAAAAAGGTTTCAATTTCAAATCTTATAATTAGCTAATTTTAGTCCAAGCTCAAACCAAAAAGTTGGACTTGGGTGTAGTTGGATTTCGAGAGAAGAACTATCCATTACCTGCACAATGAACTAAGTCCATGGTAAGACCAAAAAAAAAAAAAAAGACCTAAGCCCATGGATTACCATGGGCCTACTTGATCTTCATAATTGCAACCAAAACGAAAAGCCCATTAGAGGCAAAGTGGATCGGACGGTCCACAGCACCCTACAAAACACCCATAAGAAAAAACCCTAATACCCCGCTTCCATTTTCTCCTCGTCTAAGCTCCGCCTCCTCCTTCTTCAGAGCTCTCACACTCACACACCTCACCAGAACCGGAAATGGTGAGCTCTCTCTCTCATCGTCCCTTCCTCATCCATACGCCGGCGTTTACTTTCTCATTGTGTACTCTCAATACGACTTAGTTTTGTTCTTCTTTGATCTCATTCTGTTTTTTGTTTTTGTTTTGGGTAGCCTTTCAAGAGGTACGTTGAGATCGGAAGGGTGGCTCTCGTCAACTACGGCGAGGACTATGGGAAGCTTGTTGTCATCGTCGACGTCCTTGACCAGAACAGGGTACCTTCTCCTTCCTCTTTCCTTTATCAAAGTCTTACTCTTTTGTTCGTTACTTTAGAATTGTGTTTGGGTTCTGTTTGGTTGCCTGGAAAAACTAAGTAAAATGAGGGAAAAATGAATTTTGGGATTCATGCTTTATGTTAAATTAGCACGTGATTCTCGCTTACCTGAAGTATTTTCTGAGCTACCAAGCAGAGTTCTTTTTGTTGTGGTTTCATATAATATATTTTAGTATATCTTCTAAGAATCATTGATAGATTCAATGCTATAGGTTTTAAATTGAAATGAGCATTGGGAAATTGCTTTTTTTTTTTGTCTCCCTTTCTGTTGTACATTCCTAATATACATGACATGTTATGATATCTTTCGGTTTTTAGAAACTTCTTATAACTATATTTGCCAAGTGGACTAGGTGCAATGTTAATTTTAAATCAAAACTTTCGTTAGAACCAATAGGCGTGTGAATTTTGACTATGTATTGGAAAGTGGTTATGTTTATCAGAATATGTATTGCTCTGATTGTTGCTTTATACTTATGTACTTAAGTTTACTTCAGCGGGTCCCTTTTCAGATAGAAATGGGTGGTTTTTGTTGAGCATCACAAACGATGCCTACTAGTGCAGCCACTATTCAAATGCTAATGTAGTTATTACTTCTTAATTTTTATGATGGTCTTGGCCTTTTTTTATTTTTTTTATTTTGTCTGTTTCAGGTTATATTCTTGGTTTGTTGATTGAGTTGTTTCAGTTTAATAGTAATTTCAGTCAGTTTCATGTTGACATAAGCTGCAACCTGTTAATTTTTTGTTGGTTTTGGGTTGGGCTCAAACCTGAACTTGTTTCCACGTGTGGTTGTCGTTCTGGAGAACTTTACATATCAGAAATATAGCTATAAAGTTTCTACATTGATATCATTGTATATTTCATGATTTGATCCATTGGCAATTCTGCTTCACTTGTCTCCATAGGCTCTTGTCGATTCTCCTGATATGGTCAGATCCCAAATGAATTTCAAGAGACTTTCACTCACTGACATCAAAATTGATATCAAGAGGGTTCCTAAGAAGAAGGAATTGCTTGCTGCAATGGAAGCTGCTGGTAGGCTCAATTACCCGTATATGATGATAGTTCTTGTTTTCATGTTATGTCGTCCATTTTTATAATTATATGTGTTGGTAGATGTGAAGAAGAAGTGGGAGAACAGCTCTTGGGGTAGGAAACTTATTGTTCAGAAGAGGAGAGCATCTCTTAATGACTTTGATCGATTCAAGCTCATGTTGGCTAAGATTAAGGTTGGTTATGGCTCATTTGAATCTTTCGTGTGAAGTGTGACTACCTCTGTTTGAAAGTGTTGTACATTTCTCCACCAGAAAAAAAAGTGTAGTAAATTTCCTTTATTGCCCACCTTATTTCATGATATGTTTTTATAAGAATCCACTTGATGATTTATTTCTTCATCCTTTTCATGTTGAACCCTCCCAACTAATAGACTTTTACTCATATGCAGAGGGCTGGCTTGGTCAAGAGTGAGCTTGCAAAACTGAAAAAGGAGACGTCATCTTAAGCAATATCGGATATTAAGTTTACAATTTTGTTATGGATTATTTTCAAAACTGTACTCTGGATTGTAATCCCTTTGTTTTTATTCAAGTTTAGTTTTTTTCAGAGCTGTTTTTGTTTTAAAGTATTATTGACAAAGGAGCTCTTTTAATGATCAATTTTCTGTTGTCCTGTGTTTCCTTCCATTCCCATTGTGTTGTCGAATTTCTTATATGCTTGTTTGAGCTCTGTTTTGGTGCACACTTGAGCGCCGGTGAAATACTTGTTTTTATCATTAGAACTCTGATTCCTATGGTCCCTGATCACCATTGCCCTCCAATAGAGTTAACCTTCTGGCCAAAAATGTATTCACCAGGATAATATCTTAAGCTTAAGGTTGGCTAGCATCGATACTCTGCTTCCTATGGTCCCTGATCACCATTGTCCTCCAATGGAGTTCACCTTCTGGCCAAAAATGTATTCACCAGGATAGGATCTTTAGCTTAAGGGTGGCTAGCATCGATGGTTTTCACAATTTACTCAGGCATCCAAGCTAGGTTACTAATGCACTACTCCAGATGCCGCTGGTGAAGTGAACAGTGCTGATGCTGATAGGATGAAAACAACATTTGGTACATGGTATTTTTGTGGAATTTGCCTGATCCCGTGAACTATATTGTCTTTACTTTTTCCCGATTGACAATTTTGGCAGTTGGCCAGTGAAAATTAAAAAAGGAAAAATCCTCTGTGCTCTATATTTTGAAGAGGAATATTCCATGGGATGTCAAGAAGGCTCCAAGTTCATTGCCGAATTGCCCAGTACAATATGATCAGTATCCAATTTGCATAGCTAAATTGGAACAAAGAATGCAATGATAACTCATTCAAAGTATATCTTTGTAATATTTGTTGGCTCGAAAAGTGATTTCAGGACTAATTAGTTCAGTGTTCTGCAATAGTCTGCGCAAAACAGATATGACATGAATTCTTTCATCTGGCCGACTCCAAAGGACTTGAAGGACTTCTGGAGGAAAAACAGGTGCAGGCTGGGCAAGCCACCGATTGCCATCTACTTCCATTCCATTTAAACTAGAAATTAAGAACACACAATATTAGAAACATTTCAGGGATGATGTGCATAAAGATCTACTTTAAATACATCAATACCTGTTGAGAATAGTCAACATATTAGGCCATTCAGCAAGCTTGAAATGTACATCCACAATGTCCCTGCCTCGGCCCTTCATGTACTTCACTTGCCCGTGAGATTTACATATAGACTGGAATCTATTCTTTGATACTGTTTCACCAAAATTCGAAATCCTTATAACGGTTGTTCTTGGCACATCAATTCTGAGTATTGATAGCTGTTTTCCTTCAACATTTATAGAACATGCTGCAATTGCTGTCTCTTTGGCATCTTCCGTCTGTAATCAAGCACTTGGAGCATAAATTTCAGAAAATGATGGTAAAAAGAGTACACGTCTATGAACAGAAAGCTTATCTCTATCTGTGTGTGACAAAGTGAATCCAAGAGAGCACAATTCTTTTCATTGCTTAAGGAAAAAGTGAATGCATATTCAAAGTAGTAACTTTAACACATACTGGTATACTGCTAAGTTCACATGTCAATTCTCTTTCACCTTAACAGTTGGGTAAAAAGGGCGGGCAAAACCAACCTAATGGGCTAGTTCTGAAGTTTCTTACCTAGTTCCAACACCAGTAACAAAAAGATTAACAATACAAAGTATGACGTGAACATTATCTTAGTTACTTATGAGATCTCCAATACTAGCATTCAATCTTCACCAAAATTTGACTTTATAATTTATTTCTTTAGTTGGTTAACATGATGATTTATTACACAGTCAAAAGTCAGAAGCAAATGGTAAAAAGCCTCACCTCAAATTCTACAAAAGCAACAGAGCTTGAGGAACCCAAGAAAAAGCTGGATATGCCACTTCCACAGAAGGCAAGAGCTCCTTTAAGGTGATGTGAGCTTATATCATGGGTCAAATGTTTAATCATAACTGTTCGTGTGGGATTCTTTATTAATGCAACGGGAAGTTCAGAATCACCAATCATGTTGGGAATGGAAACTTTATTAAGCACATCTTCTAAAGAAGTTGCCAAAACAACGACATTGGCATTCCCTATAACGAGGTCAGTTTTCCTGAGAGCTCTCTGCGATCCATACCTTGTCTGCAATAAAACCAAAGGCCAGTTAAGCAAAGGTGAAATGGCTTAAAATGCTACCTACAGATATACTACGATTTCCACCCAGTCACAGTTATAAGGCTTGTGATCATGACAACCATGCTTATAGTTTGTCATTTCAGCTGGAATGGAAGACTGACTTTTCTGAGCTTATTTGTAGCAGTAGGATCACAAACTAGTGAGCACGATGAGCCATATTTGGAAGAAAAAAAGGACATTTGAACCATTAAATAAGCATGTTTTCCAATACCTTAAAATGCACGCAAGCATCTCTGAAATTGCTTCCTTCACTAACGGAAAGTAGCTGTACCTTCACGATCTCCCCACAATCAGTTAGAGCACCAACAACATCATCATCCTTTACATTTTTGTGCAAAAATCTAACCAATACCTTGCTTTTTGTTGATCCTTCTTTTTGGCTGAATGTAATTGGGATCTTATTTAAGTCTTCCTTGCTAGTTGGAAGATGGATCTGCGGGCTTAGTTTTGACTTTTTTCGAGATGAAACTTTCAAGTCACTACTGTCACTTTTAGATACGGAATCTGTATTAAGGGAAGCGATTCCCCTACATGGTTGTTCTTCACTCTCATCGATGGTGTTTGTCTCCCTTTCCATGGCACGGCCTCTGAACGAACTTTCTCTTCTTTTAGCATCACGCTTATCTGAATCAGCGGGGATTGTAACCTTTTTAACTGAGCCTCCCCTTTTAATGATATGATCAGTCTTGTTGGGAATAGCAACGTCCTGAGGTTTAGTAATTAATAGTTCTCGAGGCAGCTCCTTAATGCAGCCAATTAAGCCATTAATGTTGAATCCTTTTCCCATATCTTCTTCACCTGTTGTTTCATTTTTTTCAGTTAAAATTCCCAAAAGTCCATTTGAAGCCAAAGTATCATTTTTTTTACTGGGGATTTTGCCAGCTTTTTGATCATTCATTGTCCTCAGAAACATGTTTGCCAACCCCACTTCTTGAGATCGATTAGATGACACAGGCATTTTAACCACATCAGTATCTGCACTAGGTGTTTGATCTGATATCCAAGTTCTTTTGTTAAGTTGATGGTTTCCATTTCCAACTACTGTGGATCCATTTGTGACATCCTTTTGGAATATCTTAGACTCTTCACCTGGTAACTGATGTGTTACGCAAGACTGGTACTCAGTTTCTGATTCAAGAACCCCAGTGTTGTCCAACATCACTTCCCCAAGTTTCCTATCTGATTCAGGCTCTACTTCTGATTGACCCATATCCTTGGAAGATCTTTTCCATGTTACATTGGAAGCTGCAGTTGCTCTAACACATTTCTCACTGTTTTGAGAATCCATGAAGGTCTCTGATGATAGAACTAAATTTCCACTTACACCATGTTCAACATTTTTAGGACCAACATGTTTCTCTTTGTGTTTAGATGCAAAAATATCACCCAAATTGCTCAGAGATTTTTCCCCCCTTCTATGCAATGATGCATTTGTTAAGTTATTTTCAACATTTTCTGGACCAGCACGCTCCTTTCTAGCATTGGATACAACAGAACCAGCCATATTCTCTGAAGAACAAACTACACCTCCCGAGACCTGAACTATACCTTTAGGCTCACCAAGTTCAGTACCATCCAAATGTTTATGCACCTCAACCTGGTTCAAAACTGTAGCATCAAGCACTTCAGATGAAGAGCGTTCCCTAATTATATCATATTTTAATCTCGTTGAGATATTTTCCTTGCAACTGTGAGAATCTCTTATGACTTTTGGCATCTGAATGCTATTATTGGGTTGATCAATTTCAGTGTCATGAGGACTATTCTTTGTCTTAATAACCTCAGATATTGTCCTATCAGCTACAGAATCAATTGTTTCGACAGTGATTTGCTTCTGAAATCGGGAAATGCCCAGCATTCTTTCCTTCAGATTAGAAAAAATGCCTTTCAGAGAATTCCATGATTCCCCCACTTTGTTTTGACCCTTTGCTGGTTCCGTATATCTGTAAATCCGAGGAGTACCAACGGAACGCTTAGCAAATATGATAGATTATAAGCTACAGGCTAACGCCATATAATTGATGATGATGCACATTATATACAACTATAAGCATAAACACACGCATCTCCCCACCCTTCCCAGCCCCACCCCCAAAAATAAATAAAAATATTAACAGTTAAGTACAATAAAAAAGAAAACTCTAGAAAGTTCCATAAGTCATGTGTGTATTACTTTTCAAAATGTTTTGGGATGTGAGATTATGGCATGCCACCAGCCTGCGTACACTGGTGCGCATATTTTTGCTTAAGTATGGGAACTTGTGCTTACATTTTGCATTCGGCTTTCTGATATTTATCTGGTAGCTGGGGATGTTTCCCTTGAGCATTAAACGAGATTGCCCCTCAGTTATTTTCTATAACACTAGGCAATTTCTTGAAAAAATGGGGAGTACAGGTTTGTGTTTCCTAAGCTGGTTTCTACAAGATTCTGCATATATATCATCATCTGCATTGAGAATTTGAGATGAGCATAGATTTAGGGAGACTAAATACGGGTAGTTCAGGATAGCTAGTTTTGCCTAGTTCAAACACCACATGCTTGATGTAACACGATAATATCCTTTTACATTTTGAGCATTGTTTGTAGTGTTTTCTACAAATTGGGTATTTTTCATGAAATTTCGAAAGAAGGGTATTGTAATTGCCAGGACTTAGCGTTGGCTACTTTCTAGACTTGTTCATTGGTTCAGACATATAATGAGAAAATAACTTTGCTGGGTTTCAAGAAGAACTCACTTGTTATTTGACGCCTCGGCTGCAGCTCTTTGCCCCTTTCCCGCCTCCGAGTTCTCTGAACTCGATGGTTTCTCTGCTCCACTGCTCAACGAAGATGAACACCATCTTGTTGCTTTGGGAAGCGCTGAAATTGGTTTAATCGATTTATAAGCAAAACCCAGAAACCGTTTTCACTTTCTAAAACACAAATGTGATTTGGGAAAAACACACAAATGTGATGCAAATGAAGTAAGAACGATGTTTGTGAAGTGGGTTTTACCTCTTTTGTGGAGATGATGCCCTGGCGTTGGAAGAAGGATACGAGAGAGGGACATTTCGCCCTTGCTCTTTGCCTCAATCTTTTCTCTTTGGTGAGAATAAGGAGAGGGTTTTGCAGAGGTTTTTGGAAATAACCATTTATATTTTCTACTTCTTTTTAGTTTTTTCTTTTTCTGTGGAGGTTCATGGTTATTGTGTTGGGTTTGGAAGGTGAACTCTTTTCTATAACCAATAGCCCATATAAAAACTTTATTATTACTTTTTAAAGAAATGACCTCGAAATAAAATAGTCGTTTGGATTTGCAAGAAAAAAAAGAACCCTTCTATGAAAAGTCATTAAGGCACCCTATGTGTGTGTGTATATATATACATATATAAAATCGGGATTATTGGTTTAAACCCAAAAATATAGAATAATCATACCTTTATAATGGATGGAAAAATAGGAGTATGAGCTTTTAAGATTATAGAAACAATTAATTCTGGCGAGAGAGTAGAGAGGTGGGTGGGTAGGTTGATAATTGGAGGAGTGGAGGAAGGTGGAGACGGTATAATGGGAGAATTACAGGGATAATGCAATGATAATATAAATACCAATTTTAAGATACTAACTGATGAGGTAATTTCTTATTTATTGTGAATAAATTAAAATTTAAAGTTGGTCCGTGATGAAAAAAAAAATGAAACACTAACACATTGCTTTAGTGTTACTCTTTAAATTTGCCTGATAGCTGCATTAACACAGAAAGCAAGTCTAAATCACAATAAAAACAACAATATCTACCAAACAATCACAGCAAAACCAAGCACAATCCATTACAAAGTATTTTTTTTTTTGTCTGAACCATGAGGTGGTCCTGGATGGGCCCCAACTATGGGTGGCATCTTTAAGTCTTAACCACAACCCAGACTAATCCCCACTTACACCGGGTCGGCCCGTAAGGGGTAAAGTGTTGGCCAAAGTGGTGACTCCGTACGAGAGCAGGTATCGAACCCCTGACCTCTCTTAAGGAATGAGAGTGCCGAACCACTCACACCAACCACCTTGGTTCATTACAAAGTATTTCAATTACTGCAAACCACAACAAAAGTAAGTTTCAAATTGCTGAATCCTAGTACGTAGTAACAAATCTGAAAACCTCAGCTGATACCAGCTCAAATGTCTTGTACAATCGAAGCTCTTTGCTTCTGATTTTCACAGAGCATCACATGAAGTTATACACTTTAAATAGCCGAGAGGCTATACACTTTCAATAGTATAGCCGCACGGCTATACTATTTAATTATAATAATATATTTCAGGAGTCCAGCCGATCGGCTATACTATTTAACATAATATATGTCAGGGGTATAGCTGCGCGGCTATACGCTTTAAATATAATAATATATTTCAGGTGTACAGCCGCGTGGCTATATTCTTTAAATATAATAATATATTTTAGGTCTACAGCCACGCAGTTATATTCTTTAAAATAATATATTTAAGCAGTACAGCCGACCGGCTATACGATTTAAAATAATATATTTAAGGGGTATAGCCGAGCGGCTATACTATTTATTAAAAAACATAAATATAAATAAATAAAAAGTACCCGCCTAGCAATTAGACGATTTTCGAGTAGGCCAAAATGATAGTTGGAGCTCAAAGCTTCTCTTTTCCCTAGCAATTTTGAAATTTTGTGGCCTACTTCCATTAGTTTATACTTTATAGTTATTAATTTGCTAGTTTTAACATATCTAAAGCAGATATTGAAGGGAGAGAAATTTCATAGTAAACCAATGTGAGAGTTCAATTTTTTTTCGTGGGAATGTTTGCCTTCAATCTACCTTGTTCTCTCGAGTGCTACTAAATTATGTTAGTGCACACATTATTTGTCGTAGAGAATTACATATTGAGTTGGAGTGGTATTGGTAATTGCTTCACTTTTCAAACAACACTTTACATGCAGAATACTGCCACCTCTTACTACTATACCTATAAATCTTTGTTTGAAATTGTTGTTCCGGTTGGCAAAAAGATTGCAAAATCACCATCTTGCATTTTTGTTACAACATGTAAGAAATAATCTTAGCCTCTCACATTCTTTCATAGTTAGTAAAATACGGAACGGGAAAAATACGAATAAAATACAGTTGTTTTAGAGGAATTTTATTCAATTGTTATGAAGCACTTTTAACTCAACAGCTCAGCATTTACACGCCGCTGCTCTTAGAATGCAATAATCCCTCCAAAATATAATTAGGGAAACCTTTTTAATTTGCTGCAGTTTAACTCTTTGCTTTCAAAACAGATAGTTGCATTAAAACAAATAAAGAAACAAGTTTATATCACAACCAAAAAATAAAAAACACTATCAACCAAACTATCACAGCAAAACCAAGCAAGATCCCTTGCAAAGTATTATACAATCTGAGGAAAAGATTGCTTCAACCTTGAACTAGTTGACCACATCTTTGCTCTTCTTGATTTTCTCCTCATAAGTTCAGCTTACCACATGCTCCCTCTGCTGCAGAGCTTCAGCATACTTTCTCAAAGTCAAATCCCTGCTGTAGCTACCAAAACACAAATTCAGCACTTCTGTCATATAGAGAACTTGTCAACATGATCAACTAAAAAGAAAATCATATTGCCTATGCACTGGAGCTTTCTAATTGCTGTTCACATGAAAAGGGAAGGATTGGACATTTCAAAGATTCTCAAATGCCATAAATATTCAACTCTTACTTGACTTCCTAAAAAATCCAACAGTCAATAGCACCAAACAGCACATAAGCAAATAACAAAAAAAATGGAGAAAGAAAATGGAGAAAGAAAACAGAGCAAAACAGGGGAGGCGTTCTTGTGCTCCTTTTTCACACACCTACAAATCTTGCCTAATACACAAATATTTTGTAAGTAACAAAATGACAAACATAACATTGGATATTCGAAATGAGGAATCAAAAAAGAAAAAAGTAAGAAAGAAGATGGGGCAAAAAAAATAGAACTGCAGGTTAATTCTTGTTGCACAAGGAAGAACACAACGACAATTAACCTACAATTTGAAATTAAGAAATTACCTTTTCATTGCATCGGTGGGTCGTACAGTTCTGCAATTACAAGGGAAGGTACATGTTGAATTTTACTGAAATCTTCTCCATCTTCCTGAATCCTACTATGGAATTCTCTAGCATCTCGAAAATGCTTAATTTCCTGAGATTCGTAAGATATCTCAGCCCATCTGGAAGTGTTGTCAATCCACTGCAACATCCAATGCGCAATCGGCAAAGACTAGGCATGGCTCCTTCCTCTACCCTCCACTTTGTTATTTCTGGAATGTGAAAAACGGATAGAAATTCAAGACAAGGAAAGCCTCCATTGGAGAAAACCATTATCTTTGTATTCTCCTCAAAAGTGTTTCTTCCTTGAAGGCGTAGAGTTGTTAAGTGTGGCAACTTCTCTAGTATTCCCATTTGGTCGTCCAAGAGACCACAGCTCCTCAACTCTAACTTGGTGAGGTTTGCATAGTTGCAGAGCTCTTTCGGTAACTCTGGGGTTGGCCCAAATAGCTTCAGTTTGTATATACACTGACAGATTGATACTATTTGCCTAATCTGCTCCTCATAGCTACTCTTCCTTGCATAATCAATGTCCACAAATAGAGACCGGATACGGTTAAGCGTGCTGCCTGTAGATTTCAAGATTTCCTCCGGATTTCCCAAGGAGCTTGATAGTCGTATGTTCAGTTTTCTAATATTGGTTAATCCAATAACATCTTTCAAATCACAATACTTGGATGAAAGAAAATCTAAGGTTTGTAAATGGCCAAGAGTAGACAGCTTCAATTCAACACTTGCTCTGTAAAACATGGGTAAATATAAATGTCTTAATTCTTTCATCTTCCATATCACATTTGGGATATTGAGCTCATTTTTAACACGGAAATCAAGAGTTTGCAAGCATATCAAATTACCTAAGGATGATGGAAACATATTTATATTGCTAGACTTCACACTTAGAAACCTCAAGTGTACCATATTTCCAATTTCACTTGGCGACTCTACTACTTCTACTTTTTCATTTACACCTTCAAGCTTCAAAATTCTAAGCACCTTGAAACCCGTCAATGGAGATAGTAATAATTTTTTACTTGTTGGCCTCCATTCTCTTAAGTCATAGTATAACAGAGACCTCAAGTGGCCACTTGTTTCACCTCTTGATGAAACCAACCTATCAGCATTCTCATCCAAGTAAATTGCAAGTCTTCGAACTTTCCCCAATGGTATTGCCATGGCTACCATCGAAGAAGTAGACATATTAGTTGACTCATTTTCATGCAAAGAATGGCCAATCTAGAGAAAGCTTTCCTCTTCTGCTTTTAACAAACACAAGTCGCGTATAAGGTCATGGATTCGACAAGTTTTAATCGTCCCTGTTGAACCATTTCTGCCCACTTGAACCACACACCTTTCCACCAATTCACTTAAGCACTTGCGTGCTATATCCTCCATTGTTTCTCCGAAACCATGTCTTTGTGTTCTCAACGAGATAAGACCTTCTGCCACCCATAACTTAGTCAATGCGCTCACTGAAATTTCATGATCTTCAGGATAATGGCCTAAATATAAAAAACATGGTTTCAAGTGATACAGTAAGTCATCATAACTCAATGCCAACACCCATGATGCACCTTCATATTCTTGTTCATGAAATTTGCCTCTCCTAATGTATTCATGAACATTCTCATGCACTGTCTCCCACTCTTTAACATTGTTTTTTCTAGCTAGAACTCCAGCAAGCACAATAATGGCTAATGGCAAACCTGCACAGTGTCGAAGCATCTCAATTCCTAGTTCTTTCATCTTTTTGTAAACTCCAGAATCTGAAAAGTAATTAAAAAAAGCCAAATTAACACTTCTAATAGTTGTATAAAAGATAGACACAATGCCCTATGTATTGTAACTATTATTTCTATTGCAAATGATAAATTACTATCTTGGTACCCACCGAAATGTTCACAAGGCAGTCTGTACTAATTTTATGGCATTTGTTTCAATGTTGTCCCATAGTTTAGCTTAATAGCATTTATGCACATTTGGTTCCTTACTCTTATCCATGACAATATTTCCAACCATTACTGGGATTTCAATTCCTTTCAACAACAACAAAAAGAAAAAGTCTTTGCAGTCAAGAATATGCATATAGATATAAAAAAGATATTA